TATGAGAGAAGACTCTTGAAATAAGAATTTTTAGTCAAAATTTTGAAATATATATATATATATATATAAGAAAGAAAAGAAAGAAAGAAAATTAGCCGGTTCAACTACTGGGTCACCGATTTTGCTCTCACTCTGAATTTAAGAGGTTGACTGGACCAAAATAAGACCTGATTCTCGATCCAACTAGCCGGTCCGGTCTGGATTTGAAAACAGTCACTATAAGCATTCCGTCTGATTGGTTTTGCACATACGTAAGCGTAACGAATATATTGATATTAATGCAGTGATAGTACTTTGTGTTAGTTGACATTTAAATTTAAAAAATGTAGTAGAGCTAAAGAGTTGACCAAATTTCAATTTTTTATAGTAGAATGAACTTTTGAATTTTGTGAATTTTTTAGAGTAGACCAACTTTTGAACTTTTGAATTTTTTAAAAAGTTGACCAAAAATGTAGTAGAATGAACTTTTGAATTTTTTATAATTTTGTGAAAAAAAAAGAAATAATTATAAATGAGACATAATATTTTATTTTATTAATTTTTTAATTTATTTTATTTTTTAATGAATTAAATTAATCCCAATCCTCTACCCAATATGCCACCATATTTAGGGAATGTCAACACCGATGTCTCTTACTTCTAATGTTGATTTTGTATTTATCAATGGATTTGTGGGCTAGAAAAAAAATGGAATATTAAAGAAAGAAGAAAGGGATTTGTTATATAAATTAACTTATAAGAGTATTTCATTTGTTTTTTTTTTTTTTCACAAATTTCTTAACGAGTTTAAAATCCAAAGGTTAAATTACACTGGCACCCTGAGATTTCTGTTTAATACAGATTCTTCTATTACGTTTGAAAAATTACACTTATCTTCTGTTATATTAAAATAATATATTTGTCCCTTAGCTTTTATACATATAAAATAATAAAATAATACTGATATTTTGTTCATATCATTTTAAGAGAAATAATAATCATTTTATTTGATTTAACTCACACAAAAAATTGAATTTCTTTATTTTTTTAACTGATTTTTTAAAAATATTTTAAGCATTTTTTTTTAGATACACCCAATCAAGATATACTTAAGAAATATAATATTTTGTAATTTTTTTTAAATTCACCAAATACAAAAAATACAAAAATTTAGTAATATCGTAATAAATGTGAATGACGATATTTGATAATATTGTAATAAATGTGAGTGAATAGATGAGAAAGAAAAATGATGGTGGAAATAAAAATAAAAAATTATATTTATATATAAAATTTTATACAAAAAATATCATAAAAATAGTGATAGTGATGTTATTGTAAATATAAATTATGTTGATAGGTGTTTTGTTTAAAATGAAAGGTCACTATTAAGATATATCATTGTGTTTGAAAATTTTATATAAAATTTATGTTTGTGTATCATCACTCAATAAGAATATATTTAGGTAGAATTTAATGATAAGAAATTATAGAATATAGTCATAATGATAGAAAGAAAAAATGACAGGAAAAAGGATAAAATAGTCATTTAAAAATTTTTAGGGTATGCCATCAGCTATTCAGGGAGCAATTTGTAATGAGATTACAAACTTTAGAGAGGATAATATAATTTTTCAAATATGAGGAAGAATCTATATTAAACAAAAATCTCAGAAAGTGTTAGTGTAATTTACTCAAATTGAAACAATGGATTTGTGGGCTAAATAACCTAAAAAAATAAAATAAAATAAAATAAAGAAAGAAAAGAAAAGAAAGACGAAAAGGATTTGTAAAATAAATAAATAAATATATATATATATATATATATATTTCACAAATTTCTTAACGAGTTTACAAAATTCAAACATGTGTTTTGTGATCATAATCATTGTTATTAAGGAGCTGTTTGAAATGATTTAAATAAATATATTTTTTTAATTTTTATAAAAAAAATGTCTAAAAAATTAAAAATGTAATATGATAATAAAAAAAAAATATAAGTTATCCCAAGATGGGATATAGATGGACAGCCATAATGCAATTAGAAATGACTACCACTAGGCCTTGGCTAGAGATGGCAATCGGAACCCGGCCCGACGGGGACCCGATTCCCCGGTCCCGAATTGAATGGTTATTCCCCGAAAAATACCCCCAACGGGCCGGGGATGGTATTAAAAATTTAATCCCCGATGACATTCGGGTCGGGGACGGGGATGTATGTTTCAGTCCCGGACCCGGCCCCGGCCCGACCCCGACCCCGACCCTGACCCCGATCCCCGCCTCGGTTCCCCCGACATGAAATTACTAATTTACCCCCGTTTATATATATAATATATGTGTATGTGTTAGGGCTTGGCTAAACACACTCATTCACACACATACACAAACTGTTTCTCCTCTCTCTCTCTCTCTCTCTCTCTCTCTCTCTGTGTGCAGGTGCTACTCAAGGTCACGGCGGCGGCAGTGGTGGTGGCAACTCCTCTGCTGTCCTCTTCCTCCTCCCATCTCGCCGATCTCCGATCTCACCGATGGTGGTGGCAGCGGCTTCTCCCTCCTCCCATCTCCGACGTCTTCTTCCTCCTCTCACCACGGTGATCAGTGTTAGATCTGTGTGTGTGTGTGTGTGTGATCTGATCTGGTGATGAACAATATATATATGATCTGATATGAAAATATATATATATATATATATGTTAGATCTATTTTTTTTTTGAGCTCATCAGATTGTTAATGGTGATGAACAACAGATTTGTTAGATCTGAATTTTTTATTTATTTATTTACATTTGTTACATCTGAAATTTTTGAGCTCATGAGATTGTTAATGGTGATGAACAACATTGTTAATAATTGTTGTTGTTGTTAATGACAGATCTGTTTAATTGTTGTTGTTGTAGTTTGAAAAAATCATGGAACTGATTTTTTTTTTTCTTCTGGTCGGGGACTTTTCGGGGTCGGGGAAACCCGATCCCTGTTAAGGGGCGGGGCGGGGGCAGTGATGAGCTCCCCGTCGGGGTCGGGACCGGGGACGGGGGGAGTTTCCACCATCGGGGATCGGGGACGGGGAGGGTGATCCCCGGCTCCGCCCCGCCCCGCCCTGTTGCCATTCCTAGCCTTGTGTCACGCCTCGATAATTTATGTGACACAAGGAGCAGCGTGGGCGGTATGCTGAAGACGCTGGAAGGTTCCGGAATGAGGGAGACCAACTTAGAGTATGCTGGAAGACTCTAGAATGTGGTAGAAGGGTCCGGAGTGGCCTGGAAGATTCCGGAATGTGGAAGAGCCTTGGAGTGTCCAGCAGAGCCTGGATGGGTCTGGAACATCCTAGATTGTCCTGGAGAAGCCTACCATGTACTACACTAGTGTAAGAAAGTTCTAGATTGTAGTAGATAGGGTAGTTGTCCTAGATAGTTCTATGGAATGTTTTAGATAAGAGTTTGTAGCCCTTGGATCAAAGTGATCCGAGCCGTCCATTGAGGAAGAGGATGGCTATATAAGGGTGAGGGGTCTCATTTGCTAGGCACCTAGAGACCTGGAGATCCAAGAGAGCTCTAAGAGTGAGGCACTTGTGAGTGTGAGTGTGAGAGCCTTGTAAGCTTTGTACACGACTATACTTGTAAATGTTAACTTGTATAGTGAAGGCATTCTTCTACCTAAACTGTGTGTGTTAGTGTGGTTGAGTGGCATTCTTCCACCTAAACTGCGTGTGTTAGTGTGGTTGAGTGGATAAGGTTGACTTAGGTGCAACCAAGAGGGTTGAAAGGCATCTAAGGCCGCACGGTAGGCTTGCGAAGTCTAAGTCCGTGATAGTTGGTATTAGAGCAAAGGTGTACATGGCTACGTCTGGTGACGAAGGGAACGTCCCCAGGGTGAAAAAGCTCTCAACGAAGGAGTCGATGGCGGCATTGGAGGCGCGACTCGAGGGGCTAGGCTTGAGGATGCGCTAGTTGGCCCTGGTAAGCCCACATCTCGTATCAGTGACTTTTTCTCCTATTTTGCTAGTTTGGTTGCTAGGGTGGAGGAGCTGGAGGAGAAGGTGGACTCCTTTTCTCATATCAGTGACTTTTTCTCCAATTTTGCTAGTTTGGTTGCTAGGGTGGAGATGCTGGAGGAGAAGGTAACCCAGCAGAAGGCCCTGGAAGCAAGAGTAGCTAGCTTGGAGTTAGAGTTGGAGTTGTGTAAGAAGGCCATCGTCGCTGGCAATGGAGGTTTGGCTTCACCGAAGAGGAGGATTCATGAGTCGGAACCTAAGAGCTATGTGGGTGTGAGGGGTGCCCGAGAGAGCCGTGCCAAAGGTGGGAGGCAGTCTGCTCAGACCACCAAGGATGAGCACAGTGAAGGTGAGGCCCAGAGGAGACGGGAACGCCGAAAGAAGGGGCAACGCACCGGATCTCCGAGGAAGGGGGGCAGCTTGAGTGTTACCTGTGCAACGGACCGCACATGGTGAGAAACTGCCCGAAGAAGAAGAAACAGCTGAGTGCCATAGAAAGGAAGGGAAAGAAGCAGGCGAGGGACTCCGAGAGTGAAGACCCTTCAGAGAAGGTGGCCCAGCTGGGGAGCATCTAACTTCTTGGGTTGATATCCTAGAAGAGTGGGGAGGTGCACATCCAAAAAAAGGATAAGCGGTGCGTAGAGGTGAAGGCCAAGGAGGAAACTTCACATGCGTAGGAGGAGAAAGGTGCCACTCTAAGGTTTGAGTGCACCGATGAGGCTAAGAGGCTGGGCTTGAACTGGAAAAGGCGGCTCGAGTGTTTCCTGTGCAACGGACCGCACATGGTGAGGGACTGCCCGGAGAGAAGGCACTTGTAGGAATGCAGCAGAGTAGGTTGCTTGGCAAGGGCAAAGAGAAACCACTTGCAGGGATGCAACAGAGTGGGCTGCATGGCAAGGGCGAAGAGGCAAGCTCTAGCAGCAGCGGACACAGATCATATCGAGACGTGGTGGCTAGGTATGCTTCTGCGTGACGAGGGCGTCACGGGATTGGGTAAGGGAGAGTGTCACGCCCCGACAATTTATGTGACACAAGGAGCAGCGTGGGCGGTATAACTAAGCTCTGTTTCAATTTTTTTTATTTACTTTGTTTGGCAATGGCTTAAATAGCACTGGTTTTTTAGCCAAAAAAGTTGTGCCCGTTTGGGAATTAAGTTTTAAAGATACTAAAAAAGCATTTGCCAAACTCAACCTGAAAGAATAGCCTAAAGAATGAAAGACTTTTTCATATTTTTATAGTTTTACACTTACTGGATTTTTTTTTTCTTTCTGCTCTGTGCTGCTGCAGTTTTACTCTTATTGATTTTTTTTTTCTTTTCTGTTTTGTGCTGCTGCAGTTCTCCACTTACAGTTTTTTTTTCCTGCCCTATGCTGCTGCTATTTTAGCTATTTTGGGGTTGTTTTGGGGCTGTTTCGGTGCTGTTTTTGCTGCTGTTTTTGGTCTATTTTTGCTGTATTTAGAAGTTTTTTGAAAAAGAACAGAAAAAAAAGGAAAATGAAATAGAAAAGAATCGGTTTAGTTTATTCATTTTTTCTCCCCATTGAAGTGTTGTTTGTGGATTGATTCTTTTTGTTCTGTGTCTTTTTTTTTTCTTTTTTTTTTCTCCCTTTGGATGGATTTTTTCTCCCCATTCACGTCCATGTTTCAATCTGAATTTTAGAGATCTATTGAACATGCACTGGCTTTTCCTCTTCTTTCTTGGAGTTTGGTCTAATTTCATTTATTTACTTGTTGATAAATTTGTGAGCTAGGATATATTAGGATCCATGTATTAGGCTAAATTAACTTATTTTGCCACTGTAGCAATTGGTAACAACTCTCTCTCTCTCTCTCTCTCTCGCTCTCTCTCTACTTGATATATGAAAATTGTTAATGATATCATCATTTTTTTTTAATATTATGCTTGTAATCTTCTCTCTCTCTGTGAAAGTGTATATTAATTCAAGTTTAATTGTTTTACAAAGCTCTAGTTTGTCCTTGACCTCAGCACCTTTAGGTAATTGAGTTGAATTTGAATTTCTTAAATCTTTAACCTCAGCTTGTTTAGGTAATTGAGTTGAATTCGAATTTCTCAAATCTTTGACAAGCTGCACACGATTTATTACTGTTGAATCTACTCCATGCTTGTCATATCCTGCTAAAAACAGGGCCATTAGTAGAGGCATATAACAAAATTAATTAAAAAATGTTCACCAGGGCATCACTATCTGCAAATTCCCTGTTTGTAAATGATGAATATGATGGTTTTTGTGAAATCTTGTTTTCATTTGACGGGAATTATGTAAAAAAATTAATAAATGTGTTGGGTAACATTAGGTGACTGAAATTGTTGTTGATGGTGATTATTCTGTTATTATTGAGAGAAATGTTTCTCCCCAAAATCCTGGTATCTGCATGGTCTGAGTTTGGCTTTGGATTGAGTTTTATTCTTGTTATTAAATCGTACAAATCATGGCTTCCTTTTTCTTTTGTCCTTTGCGGTGGTTTCTTGTTTTATTTCACCATATTGTTGAATGGGCAAGGAACTCTGAGAGATCTGAGCAAGGGAGGGAGGGATCTTTGTTTGGACCAAATAGAACCGGTACGTTTTGTGTGAAGATAATTGTAACACCTTATTAGTGGAAGGTCTATTACTTCCCCTTTTGGCAGCCTGATTTAAAATCTTCTTGTGGTTCTATGACCCTTATCTTCTTTTTTCAGTTCATGGTGAGTTGAATTATGACCAAATATTAATTGGTCATTGCCAGACATGATAATAATAATAATGATGGTGGTGATGTTTGATTTACCCAAAGGTTTTGTTTGGGATTTGCAGGAAACACCCATGGATATTAAGCCTTCAATCATTGAAGGAGAAAATTTCTGCGGAAACCTGGATAATCCTGTATGATAATTTATTTATTTATTTTGGTTCATTACAATGAAATTGTCATCAATGAATAGACAAGGTTGTAGTTTGTTACCTGATCTGTGGTATATGCGGGGAATGCCTGATGATCCTTCCAAGGCTGTAACAGGAGAAATTGGCAGTCCTGTAAATCCAGATGAGGAAGTATGTTTTCGGTTCCAACATTAGCTTTACGATAAATTCCATGACATCATTTTCGTAAAATAAGTATAACGCTGTGTACATATTTATGCTCCATGCAAGCTTTTTAACTACTAATGTTAGTTTTTTGACAAAGTTTGACTTTAACCATTATGGTCCAAATAAGCATTTCTGTATAGTCTGAGCATTTTCCTTTTATTTTCCTGGGATCTAAGTAAATCGTGAGTTGAAGTGAACCTGAGATCCAATTTTCATAGGGGTAAGGTGTAACCAAATCTCAAGAGTGAATTTTTGTCACTGTTTCATCCTAAGAAGCATGGATATTTCTAAGAAAGTAACATGTTGTGTCCGATGCCGACATGGCACGACACTCGGCGAACACTTCTGAATACTTAGATACACATGAAACACATTACAAGTTTAAATGAAATAACTTGAAATTCAATGATAAAACAAAAATAATCTAAATTTGTATATATTCTTCTCCTTTAGACTTTATTTTGCACGTGTCCTCCACGTGTTGTGTCCGTGTCCGTGTCCGTGTCCATACTTCTTAGGTTTCATCAAATTTCACTTGTTTTTTATTTTTATTATTATTTATTTATTTTTCAGTAAATGGCTTATCTTTTGGTAAAGTAAGCATTTATTACCAAAAAGGAAAAATTGGACAATGAAGCCCAGTACACGTACCCTTGGGTACCCAAACCAACCCCAAAGGGCACACATATCTCAAATAAGAGAGAACACAAGCCTAGCCCAATTTAAAATTACATTCCTCGCAGCTCAATAGGCTAGGCCACAAGCATATGGTAAATTAAAGGTATCAAGAAAATACAGCCATTAATTTATGACTGTCCAAATGAAGACCAACCTCGCTGGCCCTGCCTCACGGCCACATCAGATCCAAACTACTGGACTTGTTTACAAATATAATGCAAATTCGTTGAACTTAGCAAAATGAGGATAAATGATTTATGTCCTGTTGACATTAGTTTCATTGTCAACAACTCCATTATTGTTCTTTTGATGGTTAAATTATTTAACATTTTGTAACAACATGATCTTGAGTTTATTTGTAGGGAATAGTACTTAAAATAGTTTACCATATGTAATCTCATAGTATGTGGTTGAAATTGTGCCTCCTCCCTGTTATCTAGGATTTGTGTGGAATTGCAGAAGATCATACAAATAGTTTGGCAATGGGAATTATCAATTCTTCATGCAACCTTGATAAGCAGGTAAAATAACTTCATGAATTGTTAAAATCAATCAATTGTTAAAATGTACTGAATTTTGGGCAGTTTCAGGGCAGTTTGATCCTTAGTTTCTCAGATTTTCCCCTGTAATGTGAGAACGACACAGCCATGTAACTTAAAACATTGAAAAATATTTCACGTCAACAATAAATCAAGGGTTAGGAATCACAATAGGTGTACTAGTAATTGTTTGGTTAGAAAAAGAAATATTCACAGGGATACAACAACGTATTGACCTTGAATATGCCGTGGCCCTTCGAAATTCTTCTAGCTCTAGTAGATAGGGCAGTTAAACAAATCAACCTACTCGAGCTCGACTCGTGTTTGGCTTGTTAAAAATTCATTTGAAATCGATTCTTTATGTAAACAAACCAAGGTTGAACACAATTTTAAGCTCGTTAAGTTTTCAAGCCAAGCTTGAACAAAAACAACCAAACAGGCCCAATTTTGAGTAGGTAAGACTTCAAGATCAAGACTCAAGGATGGCTGAGGCAGTTAGAACTAATTAACCTAGACAAGGTGACAACGGCACCACTGGTTCTCTCCCTCACATTTGATTACGAGCCGCACAATGGTCACAACCCTTCTTCATGGTTGAACTTGAATTAATTAAGCTAAAAATGTGGGGGGAAGAGGTGGTGTACTGATACATGACACTTCCTTCTGCACAGATCCTTTTCCGAGTCGTTCTTTATTTATTCATTTTTTTTTCGTGTAGAAAATTCTTTGTTTATTCATTATTTTGTGCAATCCAGACTCAATTGCCATTCTTTATCAAGATTTTGTGGCTAATGCACTTCCATATACAAATTCTGTTTAACTTTTTATTTTTATTTTTATTTTTTATGTTTCTATATCATTACTCTATTTCTAATGCACACCATTACTCTTTCACATGCACACCATTACTCTTTCACAGCTTGTATACAAAAATATCACTTTTTATTTGAAATGAAACAAGAGTGATAACTAGCTCCTCATACATAGAAATTTAAAGTACTTCAATTAATTCGCAACACAGAACAAAAGAACTAGTAGTACATAGAAAAGAAAACCGATCTGCAATTCGAAACTCCATATTTTTATTTTTGTTGAAAATATGTTTTGGCGGAGGCGAGTAGTTTCTCTCTGGGTGGCAGATGTTCTTTGATGACAGAGCAATTAACATACTCTTCGATCCATTTGTAGAGTCTGGGAATATATGCCAAGTTTAACTAGTGAATCATGTGTTACTTTTTGATTTTGGTATGTTGAAATTTTGTAATTCACCGTAGGAAAATTTGCTCTCAATTTGTTCATCTATAATGTGAAACCAATGTTTTTAGACCAAGACCTTTATTATTAACATTTTAACATTATAATTTTTTTTTTCATATGTTTGACAGATTGGCAATGGATGGAATATAGTTCGGGGAGCATCAAAGGATTACATTTTGAATTTTTGGATATATTTTGTCATAGGTTTTTGTTATGAATTTGCAAGCTTAGAAGGTAGGCTTTATTTGCAACCAGTTAAAATGGCTGAAAAAGGGAGGAATAGTCGATCGAAAAAGGGAGGAATAGTCAATTTAATTTTACTAATCATTTACTTGTGTAGGAATTGGTTGAAAAAGGGAGAAATAGTCGATCAAAATTACCATATAATCATACAATGGGCTCTAAGTCATTTCAAGCTGCAGTGTGTTAATTTGAATTATATTTTGCTTATGTTTATAGGTTTATGAATTATTTATTGAACAGGGAAATTGTTAAAAAAAATTATAAATAATGAATTTTTGGTGACAGGTTTTTTTAGTTATAAGTTTACTTTTGGTGACATTTTATTTATGTTGCTGAAAGTATGTGTGAATAATTTTTTTAGCGACCCAAAACTTGATTGGTCGCCAAAAGTTTTAACATTCAACAACCAATTCTTTTAGTCACTGAAAGATATTTTTAGCGACGCATTTATATGTCGCTGAAACTTAACATGTCATCGGTTGAAGGCTACTTTTGGTGACTAAATGTTAATTTATGGCGATGAAATTTTAGTCTTTTGGCCACGGAAATATTTGGTCGCCAATTTATTTATAAAGGCAACCAAAATTGATTTGGTCGCAAAAGCACTTAGTGACAGGGCTTCAGCGACCAATTTTGTTCATGTCGCGGATACTTTCAGCAACCAAAATTACACTTTTGGTGACTAAAAAACAGGTCGCTAAAAGTGTTTTTTGTTGTAGTGTAAAGACGCTGGAAGGTTCTGGAATGAGGGAGACCAACCTAGAGTATGCTGGAAGACTCTAGAATGTGGTAGAAGGGTCCGGAGTGGCCTGGAAGATTCCGGAATGTGGAAGAGCCTTGGAGTGTCCAGCAAAGCTTGGATGGGTCTGGAACATCCTAGATTGTCCTGGAGAAGCCTACCATGTACTACACTAGTGTAAGAAAGTTCTAGATTGTAGTAGATAGGGTAGTTGTCCTAGATAGTTCTATGGAATGTTCTAGATAAGAGTTTGTAGCCCTTGGATCAAAGTGATCCGAGCTGTCCATTGAGGAGGGGGGTGGCTAGATAAGGGTGAGGGGTCTCATTTGCTAGGCACCTAGAGACCTGGAGATCCAAGAGAGCTCTAAGAGTGAGGCACTTGTGAGTGTGAGTGTGAGAGCCTTGTAAGCTTTGTACACGACTATACTTGTAAATGTTAACTTGTATAGTGAAGGCATTCTTCCACCTAAACTGTGTGTGTTAGTGTGGTTGAGTGGCATTCTTCCACCTAAACTGCGTGTGTTAGTGTGGTTGAGTGGATAAGGTTGACTTAGGTGCAACCAAGAGGGTTGAAAGGCATCTAAGGCCGCACGGTAGGCTTGCGAAGTCTAAGTCCGTGACACTTGGCTACACCAGTTGGTTGCATTGCGTCGTCATCATTTGTACAACAACGTGCACATGTTTCTAGCTAGTCGCCTTTGCCTAGAACTCCTGCCATATGTTTTGAAACGTTGGTAAAAAATTAATTTTTTAATTTTTTTAATTTATATTGTTTTTTATAAGTAAGTTATATGAGAGATGATATGATTTAAAATGGATAAAATAATACCACTAATGTTATTTATTTTTAATTATTTAAAATTTAAATTGTGTGAATCAATTTTACTATTGATAAGGACTCATCTCGACCATATAGTTGAGTAAATTTATAGACATTTTCTTGAGAGTCTGTATACTGTAATTAAAATTATTAAATTTTGACATTATTATCTTTGATATCAAATTTTAACATTGCTAAATTCACTATTAATGACTATATATATTTTATATAGATTCAATCGTGATTTTAAAAAAAAAGTAACAGTTGTGCCATTAAAAAATGATATCAAAAGCACATTAAAATTTGACAATTTTACACTATAACAGAAATTTTTTTATTTTTAAAAAAGATATCAATTTTGACATTCAACATTGGAGGCACTATTTTATCGACTTATGAGAATGCTTCTAGTCAGGTTGTGAATCTAAACAAATCATCGGTTTGTTTTAGCAAAAATACACCTGCTTTGGTGAAACAAGACTTTTGTCACAGTCCTTGAGGTTTGCAATTATACCTCAATCTAGTAAATACTTGGACATGCATTGCTTATGGAGGACTCGGATGATGGTATGATGGAATTATTTTTTACCATCTGTTAGTGCATATGGTTTGATCGGAATTCACTAATATTTCGGAATGTTTCTCGTAAGGCTTGGGAAATCTCTCGATTTGCCTGCGAGTATGTTCTTGAGTATAAGCGTGTGCTGACCTCTAATATAGTGATTACATTACTACAATTTCAGAAAATGCTATTTATCATTAAATTTATTTTATTATTTTGTTATATTTATATAATAAAAATTATGTGTATGCATAGAACTCTATCATATTGACGTGTGAATGTTCACATTGACAACGTGAATATTCACATTGACATGTTAACATTCACATTGATGGTGTGAACATTCACACTGTAAATGTAAATATTATCAGGGGTATTTTGGTAACTACGTCATGTATAGGACTTATTGAAACATAAGAAAATAATATAGATTAAATGAAACATAAGTAGGTGAAAAGAGATTTATAAAAAAGTGTCCCTTAAAAATTATGTGTATGCATAGAACTCTATCATATTTGAAAAATAGAAAGACTAACTATATTACATCTTGCCGATCAAAAAAAAAACTATATTACATCCAAAAAAAAAAAAAATTTAATGAAAAAGTGAAGAGTTCTGGGAAAATATTTTAATACTTACTAAATAAAATAAAATAAAATATTATTATAATGTCACAATTGTATATTATAAAATGTTTGTTATTTTATATTTTACCATTACTTCGATTTAAAAGCCTTTATCACTCATGTTTATGATTAACACAGTCATGAGATAGTAAAAAGTTTATGATACACAAATGTGATTATGTTTATAGGCATAAAAAAAAAAAATTTGATGTAATAATAAATTTTATAATTTAGGAAATGTGATGATTTCAAAAGTTGATTTGAGTTGTAAAGTTTTTTTTAAAAAAAAAAATCAAACAACGCCATTTTCTACCTCTACTCGTGG